GTTACTTGTATCAAAGATGTCAAACTAATATGATAAGATTGATAACTAAGTTGAGCACGAAGCTCTTATCTAATGGCAGAAGTGCCAGTCTTATATAGAACCTTCATCCTCATGATCGCTGCTGGTCGCCGCGACCAAACGACCATTACTGGTCACGTGATATAATTGCTATGAAATCCCTGGATCGCTTAGCTAACCTAAGCATCCCTATCTGCTATAAGTATTCTGGTAGTGCTTGACCTGTCAGGACGCCGCCTGGTCTTCGCTAACCACGTGCTAACACGTGATTCGTGACAGTTAGCCCCTAGGTATAGTACTAGCTATACTAGTACTTACTAAGCCTTACTAAGAGGGCTACTTCTCCTTTATAGCGGAGCCCGAGAAGATTCCTTCTCTCTCCTTTATTAAACTTATTAAGTACTATATTAAACCTTCTGTATATACGCTAGTCTCCCGTGATATCTAGCTACTCTTTCGCTCTTACTAGTATACTCTAGTCTAAATCTAAAATCTAAACTCTAACCTATATTCTAGCTCTTTACTCTCGCGTATTATATAAAAAAGTATAAACTAGTAAAGGACCTTTAACTAGAAAAACTAGCCTCCTCTCTAGGTGTGAAATAAACTAATACCCTAAGCGTACGACTAGACCTATAACCTATTACTAAGAATATAGAAGGTAGGAGTACTAGATAAGTTATACTTAGATAACTAGGGAGCTAACTACTATTTATAGGTAGGAGCCTAGTAATATAGTCCCAGTATATAACCTCCTTTGTTATACGCTCCTATTCTATTGTATATATATACCTAGTATCTATACGGCAGTCTATACGGTGGAAACCATAAAAGAACAATAATACAATCCCTCCCTCCCTATCTCCTAACGCACACAGCCCACCAACCAACCACCACCCAAACAATCCTCACCCCCACAAAACAACCCCTAAGCCCCTCTATATAAAACCCAAATCCCCCGCAACCCACCTCCCTTCCACCATCCCTCCATACCCTTATTCCACACATCACCACCACAACACCCCATACAAACCACCACTTATTAACAACAATATTCCCCTTCACAAAACCAACAACCACCTCAGCACCCTCACACTAAAAAATGGAACACCCCACCACCGAAATAACCATAACCCAAGGACCCCTATCCAAGCTCCTGCTTTTCAGTTCCTTATACCTAGTTTTCTGGTGTGTATCCCGTTTTCTAGGGGTATTTTTATTTCGAGTTTTATTAGGTTCTGTCGGTCGGGACGAGGACGAGGAGGCAGAGGAAGAGTTGTGGCTGCAGTATGATAGTGAAAGTAAAGATGAGGATGAGGATGAGAATAGGGAGGAGGATGGGGATGGGTTAGATGTATATGATAGAGATGGAATTCAAAGGATGAGATATAGGACTAGTGAGTATGAGTTTACCCGACAAGTTATCTCTAGAGCGACTTTCTAACTCCTATTATCGGATCATCTCCTCTAGATTAGTCTATCAAACTCCTCCTAACTCCTCCTAAGTCCCTTTACAACAACCCCCGTTACAAAAGTTTTGTTTTATTTCGCAATATCTATCATCTATCAAGTATCTAGCTAGCTCCTCAATCAAGCTTTCCAACACATAACCCCAACCCCAAGCCCCTTATCCCCCTATCGCCCCCCTTATCAAAAAATAAAATCCCCCTATTCCCCTATTATCCTCATCTTCAATCTACAGAGAGAACAGTGCGAAAATATAATAATCCACATATAAAATATAAAATATATTAAACTAACGTTCTTATGATATCTATGTTACCCTTATCCCACCCTCTGTTGGACACCCAGTACTTATAAAGAGTGGTAGGAGAATTAGTTGTATGCCAAACCAAACCAAAACAAACCTACAAGTCTATAACCCAAAACTGGCAACGAGAATAAGCGAGGGAGTGAGGGAGGATACCCTACCCTACCGTGGAAAACCAAATTTGGAAACTTTTTCTAGACGTAGTCGGTGCGTATTTCCTTTGTGATATGCTTGATATATATACAGTACAAGTATCCAGATCTCTGTATACCCACCCCCACCCCTTTCCCACTCGACCTCGCCACATCAGAGGATGCCCATCCATTCTACAAACCTCTCTCCTACAGTACCTAACCCCACATGCCCCCTCCTCCCCCCCAAAAAGGAGGAAAAATATATAATACACAAAACCCCCAACCCAAAAACGGGAATAAAACGCCATTTTCCTATCTGTTTATCACAAAAAAAAAAGAGAAAGCCTATAACTCAACACTCTCCTTAACATCCTTAATCCTCTTCCCCTCCGCGCCCCCTGGCGTCTTCAGTCCAAAAAACACAATCGTACTAACAGCCAAAACCCCCATGCCACCGATGGTATACGCAACCTCCCGTCCGGCCCACCAATACACACTCGTGAAGAGAATCGGTCCAATGCCTCGACCCAGCTGTCCCCAACTTCGTAGATTGCCCAGTTTCCCACCCCGCTCGTCCTCTCCGGCTTCGAAAGAAGACAAAGCGTTGAGTCCCATCACCACGGTAGAAGTTGTGACCGCAAGGAGGGTAGTCGCAAGATAGAGTCCTGCGACGGAATCGATGCGCGCGAGGAGGAGGAGGGCGAAGAGACAGGAGACGACTCCAATGCGGACGGATAGGAGAGGGGGGAGTTTACGAGTTACGCCTCCTTGGAGGATGGATGCTACGAGGCCCATGTATCCGAGTAGTTTCCCGTTCTTTGCTGCCGTGTATCCAAACAGGTCGAATGTCATGAAAGGAAGTGAAAATTCCATCCCTGAGAAAAAGAGGATGAAGGTCAAATGCGTAAGGTTGAGGAGGAAATGTGAGTTCGTGCGCGTAAATGGTTTTTTGGCTGTTGTTTTTGGGGCGCCATTTGTTTGCTTGGATGTTGTTCCATTTGGTTTGGTGGTACCATTTGATTTTTCTGATTTGCTGGTACCATTGAGTGCTCTTGCCTCGGCGACTTTGCTGGGTAATGTTTCTGGTAGACAGAAATACAGGTATATCGTCTCGGTGACAATTAAGAATAGCGAGAACGCAGCTGCAGTCGCAAATGGGTTTGCCTTTACCAAGCTGATCGAGCTTAACCAAGCTCCCAGCGCGGGACCAAATATAAAGCTGATGCTAAAACATACACCCACCAATGCCATTGTTGCCCCGCGTTGTTTCTCATCCGAGATATCGGTTGCGATCGCAATCGCAAGTTGAACATTGCCCTCGGAGAGTCCACCAACTATGCGCGAAAGGAGGAAAGTACGGAAATCAGTGGCGCATACCCAGAGGAGAACACTGAGGATATTCCCCATCATGCTGAATAACAGGGCGGTTCGGCGGCCATAGCGATCGGAAAGCGTGCCAATTATGGGGGAAGAGAAAGCCTGGAGAAGACTATGAACCATTAGTCTCATATAATTCCACAGCCATTACGGAGTCAAAATCTCACGAAAATAAACTCCCCAGAGCTCCTCCAAGTAACACAATATCATATCTCGAATCAATGGGTCGGGAAAAGGAAGCTTTGTATGCATTCAAATATATGAGGATATGCGACAATATCGAGGGCGATTTATTAGCAGACGAGAATTCGACCGGCGCTTCTTGGGATCTGTAGAATTCGAGGAGGGAAGGGAAAAGTGGTAGGATGAAGGTAAATGATATCTGCGTGTAAACATTAGCCACAGGGAGACAAATATAGTGGTGTAATTTAGGGTCCTAGGTCTTAGTCGGGGCCTTGGAGAATGACAACGTACCAAATCCAGTAAGAGCGAGACAAACACCACTTTCAACACCTTATTCCGCACGGCTGGTTCTATGGGAGCGGCCATTTGGATGAATTACTTGTGATTTTTACCCAAGTCTGCGATGAATCCTCCGAGCTTAATATACGCAAAGAAAGAAAAGAAAATCTGGCGGGTTTGCGATGAGTCCGGCGAACGAGTAGTCGGTGGCTGCGTCAGGCCGCAAACATACGAGACGACGGCGTCCACAGGTGGCAGCGGCTGCAATGCAATGCTCGTGTCGTATTGTGCTGACTCCAACAATATTGAAGAAGGATGCGATGGCGAAGGGTGAATCGATTCGAAGGAAATATTAGAAAAGAATAGAGACAGTACAGTGATCAGGCCAGCGTGTCAAAGTTGGAGAGTATTGAATGGTGGTGGTGGTGGTGGTGGTGGTGAACAATCATATGCGCATGTTCTTCAGGTGCAGGAACGGCCGGAGTTCTAGAAATGACGACGCAGTGGAGGTCCTCAACTTTTGGTGGAGAAGGGATGATGGGTTTTTTCCCCGCCAACAACGTAACCAGCTGAAAAATGTTCCGAAAAAACCACTATGAAAATCCTAAAAATGAGTGTTGACAAAGATTATCTGATAGATTTGGAAAATATGAGCAAGGGAATAGCTTCACGAATCTACCTAGGTAACTGTTTCCACAAGCTCTATCCCACAGCACTCTTTTATAGCTCCCTGAAACTCCCAAAATGCTTGGGCTGGCTGGCGCTGGGCTGATCCCCTCGCTTTCCCGATTGAGCGGTCCGAAATTTCTACAGCTACAGTGCGGTACTGACAGGGCATGGGAGCCACGAGCTGACTGACTGCCGGAAGCCAAGAAGGGGAGTTCGGGGCGTAATCTTGAATCCCAACTTCGTAAACCAGGATCCGAACTTTTTATTCACTTTGACGAATGGATAGGGGTGAATTGGTCATACATAACTGGCGGAGTAAAAAAAAGGAGTAAGTACAACATGTGCATTAAGCGACGAGTGTTCTTCTATTCACTGTGACAATAGTTGACCAACGCTGGGAATCTAGACTAGCTATATGAAGTACCACCTCCCATTTTGATATAGCTATCTCATTCCCCCTCTCGAGACCTTTATCATGAGCTCCAATTTAATGAAAAAAACGAATCCCGATATCTACATCAAGCGGGTGTGAGTCCCACCTGTACTCCACCTCCCACAGCCTGTGTGATTGTGAGATATTCTCGGAAAGGAGAATCATCTTTACTCTCAATTGATTTAAAGGTTTGTAAGAGTCTGACAGCGCAATATGAAGCTTCAATCAAGGCGAATTGTTGTCCGATGCAGATACGTGGACCCCCGTTGAATGGGAGGTATTGCCAACTATGTTAGGTTAGTACATGATTTCGGCCGCTCTCACGGAGATATCTGCTTACCCAGGTCTAAGATCACTCCATCTCTCCGGCTTGAATTCATCAGAGTCTTCGCCATATAAATCCTTTCGTCTATGCATCACATATACTTGATAATCGACGATTCCACCTTTAGGGACGAAGATGGGAGACTTTCCATCCTTTCCTCCGCCTACTGGGAGAGTTGTATCCCTATTGGCCTCTCGAGAGTTGACTGGGACAATTGGATGCAGACGAAGAGCTTCAGAAGTCAGTATTTGATGTACCGCCACAAAACGAAGAACGACTCACTTTCGTTCAAGACCCACTGCATATACTTGAGCGATTTGATCTGCTCAAATGTAGGAATTCCAGATCCCAATTCCAAAATCTCGGCCCTGAGTTGGTTCCAAACATCGGGTCGACGAGCCAGATGCCAGAAAAGGAAGCCCAATAAGCTTGCTGTAGTATCACGTCCAGCCAACAAGATATGCAGAAGTTCGTCTCGGATCTTTGTGGCTGAGAAGTCGGTTTTTGCTAGTTCCTCCAAGAAGACATATTTTTCACGATCTTTCTTGTCCTTGACAACCTTCTCTTGCGTGAGGTTTTTTTGGTGGAGGTCAAGAGTACTCTTCACATATTTATCAATGTAGGTGTAAACGTAGTCTCTGCTTGATTCATACTTTGGATCTTTGATGAACGCCGCCAACCAACCAAATCGAGTTCTACGTGATATTTAGTATCTGCTCTTCGCATGGCTGGGGCTCGCTTACCTGATCCCGACTTTCTCGGTCACATATTGAAATGCCTCTCCAAATTTGACACCAGCGGCGCTATTCGGGTCCTTTTCATCAAGTACATTGGTACTGTAGCCAAACAGGAAGTCGGTCGCCGAATCCAAAGTAAGCATGAAGAACAACTCCTGCAAATCAACCACAGATCCATCTCTGGGTATCCGCGCAAGCAATTTTGAAACATGCTCCTCGAAAGTCACGATATCCCCTACCTGACTTCTCGTGAAATTTGGTCGCAGCAAAGCTCGCGAAGTCTCCCATTCAGAGCCATTGGTAGAGAAGATCCCATGACCGAAAACATCGCTTGCAGCGTCGCGTCGCGGCTTCGGTATGTCAAATTCTTTGAACTGGGCCGCCAAGATGGCCTTGACATTCTCCGGCTCGCAGGTCATGATGATTTTGTCACCCAATAGGCGCTGGGAGAAAGTTTTGGTATTTAATCTCGTGTAACGTGCTCGCACATTCTCTAATAGACCGCCGATTTTGTTCAGCTTCATGCCCTCCATGAAGATGTCCAACCCAATGATGAAATCCTTATGAGGATAAGCAGGACATGGTTTGCATCCATGTCTGCGAATAATAACGGCGTGACGGCGATAAGTGAGTCCTATGCTGACCAGCTTGGACAGCAAGAGGAGACCACCCAGTCCGGCGCAGACGACGACGAAGGGGTGGTAGTCTTGAATTTGTGTGGAAAACATGATGAGGCGGTTAGATGAGTTGGCGAGTCTCGTCTCGAAGGCAGAGGGAGTGTAGTGTAGTTTCCGGTTGCAGGACAGCCGGCCACATGAACACACCACAAAGATATCCAATAGAGTGGGCAATCGACTGATCCACAAGCTTGGAGTGGAATGGAGGAAAGTGACACAAACACCAATACGGAGGAAGGGACGATTCCGTGAAGTATTTATATGTGTAGAAAGGGTGGAGGGAGAGATAAGAGTTCAAGCAAAAGGGTCAGTAGGAAGCATGCTCGAAGTAAATCATGTCCAAGAACCTGAGACGGGATAAGGTTTGGAGTAACTCAAATAAATCATGTATCTTTCCCATCTTCTGCGCCCTTTTGCCATGCTGAGAAATAGCCGGCGTCGCTCGGCGCCGATGTGATCAGTATTCGACCTCCACCTGCACCTGGGCATCTGCGATGCAATGAAAATGACCATTTACTCATCGCGGTCGTTTCAAGCATTGTACATGGTCGCAGTCCAATCATCTCGAGTCTTTGCTCACACTGCAGAATGGGCGTGTGACAGCCGAGGTTAAGGTTCCGTGCCGCCGCCACCGATCCAGGAACCCTGCCATCGGTAAGTAAGATGATGTTGGTAGTGACTGCTAATTCTCGTATAAACACTTACTTCGATAGGGAACCTCAGTCGCCTCTTAATTCGGACGACTGCGCATTAGCAATCCAATTAATTTGTTCTTGATGGCTGCATTCATCGGCGTTTCTGTAGGATTGCACAAGTATTACACCATTCAACCGCCAAATCAGACTCATCAGATACGTCGGCCTTCGTCGTTAATTTTTAAGCCCGACCCCCGAATCCGCTTTTATATTCTACGAAATACCTCCTACTCCCCGCTCTTGGTGCACTGCAAAGGCTAAAGGCTCTTGGTTTTTCTTGTCCAGAATGACAACAACGGTGACGAACCAGGTAACTCACGGACTGTTCTATGCCCGAGCGACGAGTACTCCGTACAGCACATCATTCGCACTTGGTAGAAGATGAGAAAGAAGGAAAAGCTTGGTAAGAAAGAAGTTGATATGGCGTGCGAATTATTGATCGTACCGGTAACCGGAGAAGCTTCTCCAAGTCCCGGTAAATACCTTGGTATTTTCGATGAAGAATACGAAATATTTCATTCACCAATCGTGGAATTGGCCAAGTACAACACCACTCTAGTGAATTCTGGTGTTGATATATTAATTCTCCCATACGCTCGGTACCTTCGTAGTGCAACCACCACAACCGAGCGTGGCAGACAGCGCGTGGTATTAAGCGAACAAAATATAACAAATCAGTCGTTCTTGAAAGCCACCTTGACACCATTTCTGCTCTCCACGGACGGCGTAATCTTCTCTACATACTCGAGTACTGGGTCGCAATTCTCAATATGTTCAAATCTTTGTGTCAATCTGACCAAGAGATATATGGCGTATGTCATGACTTGTTGCTGGGCCGGGCAGATTCGAGGGCCACCCCAAAGGGAAAGAAATTCAAACATGGATTTACGACCAACCCAGCGATCTGGTTTGAATTCTTCCACATCGTCGCCCCAAGTCCCTCTATCATGGTTCATAGCCCAAGTCCCAGACACCACAGGCGTACCCTTCGGGACGAAAATCGGACTCTTCTGGTCGGGTCCACCACCAACAGGCAAGACGGTATCACGAACAGCGATCCGCCAAACTCGTACTGCAGGACCGATTGTTCGAACCGTCTCTTGGAAAACGTAACGAAACTCGGCAAGTGACTTGAGGTTTTCGAATGTCAGAGATTCGTCTCCCATTTCTAATGCTCTTCGCCGAAGCTGGGTCCAAATATGAGGATGTCGTGCAAGCTGAAAAATCATGTTACTTGCTGAGACACCAATGAGATCGCGTGCAGGAAGAAAAACCGCAAGGATTTGATATCTCAATTGGATAGGATCCCGAGTTTGCTTGGCCATCTCGTCTAACAAAATGTAGCGTTTTTTCGCTTGAGAGCCTTCTGAAGTGGGTCTTTCTTCAGTTGTTTCTTCAAGCGCTCGAGCAACTTGATCGCCAACATATCGGTGGACTTTCGTATAAGCCTCCTTGTACTCCTGGTCGACATTCTTTCGATAGAACTGGAACTGCCGCCACCCTGACTCTCGGCGTTTAATAGTCCATACTTGAGCTTTCTCAAAAGCTTCCAGGAACTCAGTGGCCTCGGTTGATATTTCTGGCTCCAAATATCCCAAAGACCTCCCAAATATGAACCCCATCGATACATCGAGGAACAAGCGACGAAGTAAATGCTGCACATCAACCATCCCCCCATCATCAGGAAGGAGGTTCATAAACCGGTCAACAAAGGACGCCAAATGATCAATATCCGATATCTTCCCCCTCGAAAAGATGGGTTTTATCATGTCCCTAGAATGCGTCCAAAACGGCCCATCCGAAAAAAGGATACTGGGTCCAAACAACGGAGCCTGCGCAACTGCCCTCTCAGGATCTTTCCCATAATCTTGAAAGGACAGAGCAGCCACCTTCTGGACATTGGCAGGTTCGATGGTATTAAGCAATGGCCTACCCCTCCAAATCTCTTCAAAGGTTTTCCCGTATTTCTCAAATTGTTCTCCGTAGAGTCGGAAATATCGCCCGTCTTTCATGGCTTGCGCGCGCGCGATATCCATATCTGACCCCAAGACGCGATCCTCGTGCGGGTATTTTGCTGGTTCTTTGCAGTTGTGTAGGCGTTTGAGTGCGCGGATCTTGGTATACCTACGCCATTTTGGATACAATATGCTGGTGATGATAATCAGGAAGGAGCCGATGAACAATCTTATCAATCTACCGCTATTGAGAAACAATGAGTCCATTTTTAGGTCAACCCCTTCTATGAATAACAGATGAAGAGTAGTCAATGAATCGAAGCGCCAAGGCAGTAGCGAGGTAATTGGGGTGAGCAATTGGCAGGTGTTGTCTCTTCTCACTTCAGACTATATTGCGGAATGGACGAAGTAGTGTATAATCCGAATGCGAATGCCGTGATCCTGTCAGTTTCAACCAACAGGTATCTATTCATCTGATTTATTGCCATTGGTTGGGATCTACAAGTTGTTGGTTTAAGTGGATCTACTAACCTATTTAGGCAATCATGCCGTTCCAACCGCTTCCTACAGCGAATGTCACGCCGTTGCTTTTGATACTGTAGTTCTCGAAGGTGGGGGTTTTTGAAGCTCTATCTTTCAAGATCAATATAAGAAGAATTGTCTTTTTTAAACGCTGAAGATTAGGACTCGTTCTTAATTATCTGGTCAGGTGGAAATATAGAGGGCCTCTATTGTACAGTAAATGAAACCTCATAGATGATAGTAATAGCTATATGACAAATTTATATATAGATTTAGTCCTACCAACCGTTGGAGTAGCCTAATCAAGGAGGTCACTAAATGATTGACAGCTTTCCGTATCGCCAGAAGAAGAATATAAAACGCAATTTCTACCAGGACACCGTCTCCCTATATCTACAGTTGTATCGCCAAAGTAGTGGACCCCTCTTCCTCCCTCTCTAAAATATACTCCATTCTCTAATACCTCGCTACGCGGCCAACTTGGCCATCCTATTCTCCAAATTTATTGAAAACCCACACTCTCATCTATCTCTCCTTTAGCGCGCCTAATACAGAATGGCACAACTTGATATCACCGTCGCTGGAGTCGTCAGTCTCTGTGCAGCCTTCCTTTTCCCACTACAGGCACCCTCATCCTCCGGTTTTTCGCGAGGTCCAAACAAGGAGCTAAAAAAGGAATCGATGACTGGACCATTTTGGCAGCCTGGGAAGTCGCCAATCTCCATATTGACAATTCATAACTGAATATGCATTTTAGATCTTCTTCGTTGGCGAGACTGCAATAATGTTTTATGGTAAGACCCATTTTCCTGTGGACTGGATCGTGGAGTCTCCTCTCCGGGACTAACAAATTCACGATATCGATAAGAGTCTCGCAAGGTATTTTTGGGCATGCCCAGCCTAAGGATAAGGCAGTGCAGCACGTTACGCTAGAGAAGGTCAGAATATCCATTGTAGTTCTTCCTTCCGGCGACATTGGAAGCTAACATGTACAGTACAGCTTTTCATCACCCTTGATGGCTTATGTGTGATGACACTAGGAGTGGCAAAGCTTAGTGCTCTCTTCTTCTACCGTCGCATTTTCTGTTCTACAGGACGTCTGGATTTCTTCAATATTAGCACTGGCTTCTTTATAGTGGTAGTAACGGTGTGGACTGTGGTGTTCTTCGTCACGACATTCAGGCTTTGCGGTCGCCATGGCGTTGAGTGGATTGCTCAGCCTCGCAATACTGCGAAGTGCTCGCTTATATATCCCTATTTTGCGGCAACTACTATATCTGATGTGGTTCTTGACGTTTTGATACTTGGTCTTGCTATTCCGAAGGTACGTCGCGTTCTAGATCGCCTTGTCTTGAGGTTCGATGCTGATAAAGTAGATTTGGACTCTTAAAGTAACTATCGGACGACGACTTGCGGTCTCGGGTGTGTTTATATTTGCAATTGTGTGAGTTACATTTTCCATCTTTTACAAGGCTGCGTAGAACTGACTAACATTGTGCAGTGGTCTGGCGGCAAGTCTAACTCGCATGATTAACACACTTCATCTGGTGAAAAACGGAAGAGAAAAGAACTCGAAAGATGGCTACCGTAAGCACCTGCTCCTTTCGTACTACTATAACAAGTCCTGTCATTAATCGAAATTTCGTGGCAGAAACCAACACCCAAAACGCATATTACATGATTCTAGAAGCCGGTTTTTCCATCGTCGCTGTGAATCTCCCTTCATTGTGGTATTTCACAGTTGGCGTTGCTCCTGAACGGGTTCTAGGTAGCGTTCGAAGCATGGCATCCCTGAACTCAGGTCGAAGCTTGCAAGATTCCTCTAAGAGAACCCGAACTGTTGAGGATCACGTCACAAGAGACGCTTCTTCTGGCGAACGAAGCTTAGATAATTCAGCTTCGATCTTGAATAAACACGGTGCAGACACGGTGGTGGAAACCTATGACATGGTGGATGTGGAATCCGGCCTCAGAAATCCTGATGGCATTCATGTTGAACGCAACTTTCACCGTTCGGAAGCACAAGTATAGTCTATGGATGAAGAACATTCCTGGTGATTCGAGAGAAGAAGAGGGTGATATATCTCGATTAGTTGTTGTAATTTCGAACAGTTTCAATCTTACTTCTCTCGACAGATCTTTGAGCGTCCATCTCCCCGATCAGGCCAAGAACACTGTTCAACAATATATTCATATATTTTCACACCAATGCCTTTATACACGACAAAGCTTTCCATTTCCATTTGGAAGCCCATTCGCTGTAACTACGGCTCATCTCGGCTTATATTAACAAAACTCAGCACTTTAATCTCCTACCACCTAGCTAGTGTTCTGTTCAGCGGGTCGTCGCGATTTCTTTGATATAACTACTGCCGTTTTCATCGCGAGGTCTATATATTTGAAGAAGCGAGTCGAACAACAAAATCCCCCTACTTGTTTCCTGTACACAGGAGATTCCTGCACATTTCATTACGTGGATTTCCGAATTTTGAGTTTCGAGAGGCGGGCTTTCAAGGAAAGTTACCTAGTCATAAATCAAGGGCTCATTTAACAAGGTATATAGAGGTCTTCCCTCGCCCATTTTCCATCCCCTTTCCTAAACATCCAACTTCAAACACCTACCCTCTATCACTCTCATCTCCCTTTCCCAACAAAGAAATCACATATCTATCGAACCATGAACTTCCACACTCTCCTCTTCACATTATCCCTCATTTCGGCTGTCGCTGCTGGAGGACCAAGTCCTGCAGGTCCCAACAATGGAGAACCACGAGATAGACGATACTCGCAAGCTCGTATTTCCGCCTATCTCTACCTTATTAAGTGTATTTTACTTAAGACCTTATTAAGTATATTTAACTAAAGTATTATTAAGTATATTTTAATAAAGGTATTATTAAGTATCTTTTAATTAGGGTCTTATAAAGTATTATTGTTGTGCTGGGTCTACTTTCTCTTTTGCTCCACTTCCTTGTTTGATCCACTTATAGTTCTGCTGCCTAAATGCTTCATGTCTGCCTAAACCTTACACTCTTTATATAAACACCTTAGATAGCTACCTTTTACAATGCAATCAATTCTCCATGACCTTCAGTACCCAATACCCTTTCAACCCAATAATTATTTATAAGTTTTATTAGATATCTTTAATTTAGATTTATTAATACCTTTTTATTTAAAACTTTATTTACTATCAAAAGGTTATTAAGTATTTTTTAATTAAAGCTAACTAAATAATCTTAATTAAAGCCTTATTAAGTACTGTTTTATTAAGGTCTTTATAAGTATTCTTTTAATTTAGACTTTTTTAAGTACTCTTTTATTTAAACGCTTCTTATATAAATATATAAATTAAAACCTAATAAAACAAAACTTAAATATTTATATTACTTAGTTATTTTCCTATTTAATAATATATATAGTTTAAGTATTAAAGTTAATTAATAATACTAATTTATTTATTATTATTTAAAGAAATAATAAAGTATTAACTTAATATAAATAGAATAGTATTATATTCGACTATTAAATATATATTTATTAATTTATAAAAGTAAGTTTATAAGTAATAATCTTCTATTTATAATATATTACTTAGATAGTATTTAAAAGTTGAATTGTTATTAGACTTAAATTAGTTAATTATAATAACGTAACGTAGTCCACAAGCGAGTTGGATTCCCAAGCGAAATGGATTTTTTTCTTGGCACTCCACAAACTTATTCAGAGCGCGTTTTTTCTTAACAAACAAAATGGTTAAGCATTGGACAGAGTCTGATATGATTCTTGCGTTAAATACGCTTCGTACGAAGCCACATTTAAAAGTTAAGAAGGTTGCGCGGATCTATAAAGTACCTTATACGACATTGCTTAATCGAACTCATGGAATATTATCACGACAAGATTCTATTGCTAAATCTCGAAAACTTACAGAGATTGAAGAAATAGTTATCGTACGACATATTCTCGACCTAGATTCTCGATCATTTCC